TAATAATGCCACCGTCAAAGGCAGCCTTTCGATACTCTCGAGTTATGCGACTGCTACGAAAGAGAAACAAAACCCTATTTTCTCGACACGATTTATATATTACTGTAATATTATGGGTACATTGTCCACCGTTATTCTGTATATCTTTTGCAAAACCATACACAACAATATTATTGTTGTTGAAAAACCATGGGACGTTTTTAGAAATACAGTAATGTTTCGATAACTCGAAAACCTCGAATTTTTTTCTCGCCTCTTGAAGATGTTTTTACTTATGTTTGAGTTAAATAACTTGAAGTCAAATACATTTGTTTTCATTCCCCATGAGATTCGAGCTCTCAATACTCGACTGAATAGTTGGTCAAATCAATTAAATTATTAACGGAGACATCTATATCTATTAGTAATTCGTACGAATCAACGAATCCAATGATAACACGCCGTGTAATAAAAAACCTAATTATTCGACTTCATAAATTATAATATCATTAAGCGGTACCGTATTGTATTGTAGCAAAGGTTGTACGAAATAATGTAGCTGTAAAATAACAAAAATATTAGCCAACAAATCATACGAAATCGTGTAGCTGCAGGTGGTTATGTCACCGAACGATCGCAGCTACTACGAGTTCCTATAGTATACTTCCTACTACTGCAATTTTGTGCGATTTCTCTATTGTAAACGTTTCGTGTACGATGTTTTCGATACAATATAATATTATGATTATTATTATAAAAATCATTTCAAGGGATTCTTGTGAATAATTGTAATTTAATGACTCGGCGACTGTAAACACGCACCTACTGATATTTTTCCTTTTCGACGATTTTTTTACGGATTCAATGATTTTCTGTCATTTTCGAAAGCGATTGCGTGTTTAAATATTTACCGCAACGTCTGTAGGACGTGAGTCAATATATAGTGACACTCAATTATATGAAAATTGGCAAATCGTTATAAAATGATCAGCGTAATAATAGTTGTATTATTACGCTGACCATACATATAGTAAAGGTGGACATAGAATTAATAATTCGATAATTAATAAATTGGAAATTAAAATCAATTGTGTATGTAATCATACGTAATGCAATACGATATAGGGAATATGGGGCCTATATTATAATAAAATTAACCTGTCTACATTTTAAAAATTAAATCTTTTACATTTTAATGTGTATTATAGATAATAATAACGGATTAATACAAATATTATTATTATTTATAGTAATTAATTGATGAATTAAAAATATTATACAATTAAATAATTCAATTGCCCAGTAATATCAGCACATGTGTACCAGTGATATCTAATGGTCCTATACAGTAGGTATTCTATTAAGTATCACAATAAACATGATTTCATTGAAATAATAGAATTTATTGATATTTTTGACATGAAAATTATTTTGTGAGAGCATAAGATTAATTGTTCTATTTGCCTGTATTTAATTTAATTAATTATTATTAAAAACAGACTACTAATACAAAAAAAAAAAAAAAACGCAACTAGGAGTAATACTAATTATAAACAATTATAAAAGTATAATAATTATGAGTAAATATAAAAAGTACATAATCATCAATGTGTCATCACTGAATACGAATGTTGACATTAAAACATAATTCAATTTTACAATTAAACTTCGATAGCTCGATTGCTTAAAAGCTTAACTGTTTAAAACATAAATTATTCATTCATAGGTACATGTATTATCACAGTCGATATAAAGTCTTAAATATTTGTATTCTCAAAAATCTCTAACAGAGAGGGGGGGGGCATCTAGTTAAAAAAAAACACTATATATACGGCTTATAAAACGACCCTTTAATAAAATATTGTTAAACATAATTTTTATTCTGAATACCTATCTTCTTAAAGGAAAATGGAAAATGGAGAAAAATTGTCAAGATTTGAAATTTTTTTTTAAGAATATGGTAAAGGCGTATTAGGCGTTTAAAAAATTACATTAGCTATACGCGGAAACAATAGTATTAGGTATGTTAAATTAGCAAATAACAGGCTACATGGATGGTCTTTTTTAAAACTATAACCACTTTTGTATGTGGAACTTGATACCTAACACAATTTTATATTTGACAATGGTGAGATTAATGACTAAATACTATATAATTTATGGCATAGTTATGTTTTTAAGCATTTTGATAGAACAAATAAATCCTATCAACTATAATATTAGTCATTTATTTTTTTATAAAATGTTTATTAATCTTTGTAACTTGTAAGTACGTTAAACACAATATTAAGCCTTATAAGACAGGACTGACATTATTAATAAATATATTCTATCAAATAATTTATTTATCATTTAATAATGTTTTTAAACGAAATATCAGTGTTGTGGTTATATTTGTGTGTAACTACCGAAAGATAGATTAATCCATGAAGTAATAACAGACATTATAGTTGTACAACTTACATATTTAATAAAGTCAGTTAATCTTTTACGATTCTGAGTACCTATTTAACCTACATTTTATATGTTATTACGTAAACGAATAATTTTTATAATTTTAAATATTATATAAGTACACACAGTAACAATGTGCAAGTATATGTTAATACGTTTGTTATTTCAAATGTAAAGATAATCATTTTCTATGATATTTTAATATTTTAACTTCTCACGTCAACAAATCAATAAAAATAAAAATAAAATAACACCTATTATATTGGTTAATTTTCATTTATCGTCTTCTTACTTAAAGTTTAAACTTGTTCATATTATCTAACACGTTTAGTTTTAAAATATTTAAGTACGATGTTATCAAACATTTTGTATTATTTACTTTTGAAAAATTGTATTTGTTGTAAGCTATATTATTTATAAAATCGTTAATTGAATTCAATGACATTTTTATTTTCAGGGAAAGCAAAACAAGGTTAATACGAACAAAATTGATTATAACTGTGTTGAAATCGTTTTGAGTAAAAGGTAAAAACTGTACCTAAATCATAATTTACTAATTTTATTTACGACTATTTGTTTCATAGTTGCCGCATTATTGTTTTATTATAAATATTATATACTACTAGATTTTATGGATTAAAGATAAAGTCAACTAAACTGCGGGTCGTTGACTTTTAAAATGTTTTATTTTTTATTTTTTATTAAGTTTCATTTGTGTTTTTTTTCTGTACTTTTACTACTCACAACGAACAATTGTAACTATTATTTTCGGGATTGTTGATACTAACGGTGAAACTGCAAAAATTGTAATGAAAACACTAAACACTAATTAAAAGCTCAATTGTTTTTATACACACTTTTCTATTAATTCTCACAACAGCTGGCTCTCGAATTACTCTTTTATCGGTATATACAAGTAGTACTATTAAGTTTTAGTATTTCATATATTTAGTAACTTGATAGTGACTCGAAAAATTGATGTTTGCATTATATGATACAACTTGACCGATAATATCCGTAAAAGTCCAATACCATCAGTCATTTCCTAGTTTCAGATATTTTGTTTTTGAAAAATCAATAACTCACAACTCAGAGGTATAATATGTAACTATGAAAGTAGATTGAACAGGCATAATTATTTAGCAAAATAATAATAAATATAAAAAATATAACATAATATTTTAATTTAATCGGTCCGAAAATAATTAAATCTATGTTATCATGACGGCTACCTGTCCACAGATAATGTTTCAAATAATTCATTAAATTTTAAAATAACATAAAACAGTGTATTCCGGCAGTATCTGTACATAATATACCGCAGCGGCTATTTAGTACCTAGGTATACTGGGTTATTTGTTTGCGATAAAATCCCTACCAATGAAATTTCTTTTTAAATGTATTATTATTCACCATAAAAATTGATCGATGTGTATAATTCATGTTTATTCGTTGAAATACAAAAACGTTTAAATTTATATTTAAAACAACGGCGTATTAATTATAGGCAAAAATTGTTTCATCTGTTGTGAGCCGGCAGTAACGCAGTATGCTTCCACACGTGCACAAGTGCGTGACTAGCATTGCATACCCACACAGATGGTCGGCGCACATATTTGAAGCATAATATTATTCTTAAAGTTCCTAAACTACTATGATGTTAAATCGTTGTAAATAAACCTACAACAATACTACCAATTGTTATGAACAATACTGATGATGACGATGATGATGATGATAATATTGACACAATAGTTAACTGACAGTTGACACGTATTGTGCCATTGTAAATGTCCATATAAAACCGGACTAACAAGTATACCATTGACGGAATTCGGGCGAAGTTTCTCAGGCTAAGCACCTTCTCCACTAGTCTTCATAAAAGTCTTCCAACCACCCTTTTAAGAATTCATAGTTAAAGGACGATCGAAAATTCTATTAGAAACGTCCCCCAAAGTGATGATGAAACGTATTTATATAATCACACTGTTAATCATTATAAAACAAATACCTAAATTCTTCAATCTGATTATCTCAAATACGTAGTGAAAACAAAACTTTTTCAATATTATCTATTACATAATTATTACTGTGTTTTACACAAGAAGCATTAAAATATTTTTTTTTCAAATTCATAGATATTTTCAAATTTCAAACGTAAGGTGGGCTAACATTTCCTCAATTAATTTTACCCGATTTCCGTCCATGAATATAAAGTCAATGCCTATATTATCATAACGCTATATATAATGATTAACTCGTAATCATAAAGAGCTATTTTAGAGTTATAGGATCGCAAGTATCGAATGACTATTTTTATTTTTTCATCAATCAATCAATTTTGTCTTTCGATTGGAGTTTACATTAAAAATTCACTCATAAATTCAAATACGAATCGTCTCATGGAGGATAAATAAATTTAATAAGAAAATAATCACGTTGTTTCTCCATAATTTTACGAATAAACATCAATTGAGGAATACGTATTTGTTTTAGTTGAATTTTTAATGCATTCTTTACTCCAATAAGAATTATTCTTATTTTTGACTATATTTTTTTGTTCTTACTTTTTGGTTGCATTTTTGTTAGATGATGTTAACGCTAGCCTCAATGGTCTTAAGAGGTTTGTACTGAAGAGGGAAACGAATCCGACGAACCATCCCATAAATTCTTCAGGCGATGACAGAAACGTTGCTACTGCTAGATATGAATCCCAGGAGGTCATCTTGGCTGAATCTGGCCCGACGGCACCTTAATACAAATACATTAAATTAATAAATTTAGATTTAAAAAAGTTTACCAATTTAATTTTTATACAATCGTTTAACACTTAAATAAAATATTTAATATGGTAACATGAAGTTAAAACACTAAACAACAAACATTGTATGGTGGGGAGAGGGGGGGGGGGTCTTGAAAATAAATTTGGTCAATTTTTGGTAACCTATAATAATATAATAGTTATAAGGGTAACTGTAGTGGTACATAATCTTATGTTTATTAAATCCTTAAAAGAAATATATGAATTGTAACTATTGATAAATCGAATACATAAATGACATCCATAAAAATCATAATAAACAGAACACATATTTTAAGGAGTTAAGTATAGGCAATTTAGTCTACGTTGGAGACAAATGTGTGTAGAAGAATTGAAATTAATTACATATTATTATTATTATTATTATTATTATTATTATTATGGCACGTGTCGTCGAATTGTATTAATTGTGAATTTTCAATTCCAAACACAAGATGGAATCATTTTTTTTTTTTTTAAGAAAGTATAAAAATAAATTATCATTTTACAAGAAATAATGTATTGAACGTGCATCATAATATTCTCATTTAAAATTAATTTTTTTTTTGAATTTCCTCTCTCGACAGGTAAAAATGATTTATCAAATTTTCATCCGGTAATGGATTTCAGCATTTGCACTTTCGTAAAAATATATTGAGTAGATAGATTTGGTGACTTTCGAAGCAGACATGCCATGGATAGTATATAGTTATGAGGGAAATGTCGGCAGCCACTCTCATCAGTTGTGGAGGGAGAACAGACGCGGAAAGTGACAGTGGATTATCGATGACCAGGTGAGATGGGAAGAATCTAGATACTTATGGTCTACAACTTTCTGAATTCAGTCCGCTTCTGTTTCCGCTGTCAAACTGGGCTGTTGAGCGTGACAGGACAATATAACATGATAATATTTTATAACAACCAAAACGATAAAAAACGAATGGGCACAGCAAGTTTATCTCGAACCAACGGCTATTACCGTGTTATAGTTATTGTAACAAAAATTATTTGAATATTATCATCGTTTATGATAACGTTACACTTCTGAAAACTAAAAATGTTAAATATAATAGAAAACAATTGCATAGGAAAGAAATACGTTGTTTAGAAAGTTTACCGGGTTTATATTATACTCAACCTAAGTTTGTAGTTTTTTTTTTATCAGAACAATTTACTACTTTTGTGTTGTATAATTTATTGTGAATTTCAAATTTGTATCACCGAGGTCCATAAGGTTTTCGATTAATTCTAATTTTAAAAACAACGAATTTGTAATATTCTACCTATTTTAACTTTATCGCAATTAGAACACTTTGTGTGCTTATTAATACCTACTGTACGGTAGATTAAACATGTCCAATCGTGTATGCACATACAAAGTTATAGTCATACTTAATAGACCCTATACTGTTTACTTCCATTCTTTAATAAGTTCTTATTGATTAACAATTATTAAACTATTAATCTAGTAATATTATGGGGTATGCATTAAAATATATACGTCTTTGTTATCCGATCGGTATAAATATTATATTATTATTAGGTTTATAATTAAAACACGCGTTTAATGAAAAATATTTAGGTGTACCGTTAAACGATTATACCTCTCTCTCTGTTTTAATAAATTAAACTGCAGTGCAGTAGTAGTGGTATGCATTGTGAAAATTCCCAAGTATGATTCATACACCAATGTGATTAAAACCGTACTATAGAATTTTATAAAAAATTCAACTCTAATGAGTTTTATGGTTTTTGTGAAACCATTGTGATAATTGTTAGTGTTGCACAACACGTCAGCTCGTGATAAATAATTTTGTTATCATCATTCATCATGCTGCAGAAAAATATAATATGGTATCAATGCTTTAGGATTTTTTTCACTTAACGTAGACATTGACATGACTATATAGGTACAACTTACTGTTAGGTAAAATAGCAACATTTGTCTTCCATAAATGATACAATACATTATTACAACTGAATCAACAATTGTGTATTTGTTAACTGTAATTTATTAAGATTAAAGTTAATAATTATAAGTGGATTGTTAAATACAATACTTTTATCAAGGCTTTCTTGCATTTAATTTTTAACAATTAAACAATAATTAATATTTTAGCACTGCTCTAATGCCGCAATTGCCCATACAAGTTATTTAATACATTTCAAGCACAACAGATGCAGCTGAAATGTCTTAGCTATGTGACATCAGTTTAGGACATCAATATTTTTAAAGAGAATAAATTATTATACTATAGTGTATGTACAAATCACCACGCCTTCGTCATTATGTACGATTAAATACGAATCGTTAACTCAAAGTATTTATCGCATTTTCCCACAGTAAAACTAATCATACACCAAGAAGTAAACGTTATTAGGTGCAATGAGTAAAAAATCGAAAATAAGCCAATTATTTTAAAATGAAACCAATAATTTTAATCTTCAATAACGAATCACGAATGATTACTTTTTTGGAATAATATTCTTTGATTATAATACTTATTTTATGTATTTATTCATTGTGATGTTTGTGTAACATTTTTGTTAAAAATAAACAAGTCATTATAAAAAAAAAGAAAAATTAAAATAATCATTTGAAAATGTGATGAAAATCAAGGATATATTTGAAAATAAATTCAATAATTATGTTAACCTTTACGTTATGCGAAGTGTTGGATACGAATGTAAAGTAATATAACTTCTGTAATAATCGACTAAAGATAATGACTTCTGAATGATGCGATAATGCGATTTTGTCACTTATCTACAGAGTATAACGTGTGTAGCATTTCAATAACATCGAAATTATAACGAGGACTATTAAAAACATAATTTTAGTCCATCGTACGATTGACAGTATTATTATAATATAGTTATAATGTTATATTACTTTGCCATCATTTCACTAATCATGTTATGTGGTTACCACTAATAATATGACAACCGAATAATGTACGTATAGGAGTATTTAAAATGTATTATTGATATTTGTAGTTTTTTAAGAAGTTGAGCTTTTTGGTATAGTCAAAGTGACGAAGCTAAAGAGTATTTATCTTAAAATTATATGTCACAAATTTTTTTCAACTTAAATTGCAAATTTAAAAAAAATAGTGCCTTCAAACTTTTTATTATTGTGTACAACGACGTCAATAATGTAACATTATAGGTAGGTACACAATTTATATTTGATTACTTTTTTTATAGTTTTAACCAATGTTGTGAATGATATGTAACTTAATTTTAAATAGAGCAAAAAAAAAATGCGTAAACTTCATAATATTATATTCACGCTCAAATTCTGTATTACAACTCAAACAAAGCGACGACCGTTGACCTAAACCTAATGGTAGCCTAACTAAAATATTGTAAACATAAATAGTGTAATAAATTGCACAAAGGGATTATTATCATTGAATTTCTAGTTGATCTTAAACATAATACTTTGTTATTAAGAACTGCGGGCATGCAGGCGTTCTGATATTTTTTTTTTAAAAATCGAGAACTTAGCATTACCGTTCTACGCTATTCAAACTGTCATCGTTACGACACGATGTCTGTACATCAGCATCGATCAAATCCATATCATGAGAGCCAATGCATATTTAGAATTAACAACTGTAGCCCTCGGGCGTCCATCACTAGGACGACGTTAAGGACGTCTGCCAGCGAGTTTTACAGTTGTATAATAGTCGTAACGCACAAAACAAAAATAAAAATAGAAAGCACAGGCGCCATTGTTCGGGGGAGGAGCGCGGGGGGTGTTCGTTTTTCTAACGTTACCTCTACCTGACAACGAAGAAGACGACCAGCTGAGCCAGCACCTCCTGGAGCAGCGGCAATACGAGTGGCGTGTACGAGACAACGGCGATCGATGTAAATCGGAAACGGAAGCAGACGATGTCGCGTGTGGGTGTCACTTGTAATGGAGCTCGTGATGCTGCACGAGAGGTCGGCCGCCGTCCGCCTAATTGATTTTTTCGCACCACGGTCTTCGGTCAAGCCACGAGAGGGTTTATATATTATTATTATAACAATAATTGTATTATGTTATTATAACAATACATACGATCTCCCGGGCGCGGACGGCGGCGAAACGGCGACGGATTATATTATTATGATTTAGTTTCGAACACACACGCGTCTACAAAACAATTTATATTATATTATTGTTGTCGTGTAGTATGGTTTACGACCGGCGAGGACTTGACGCCTGCTGCAGCGTCGAACGGATTTCGCTGCCCTGCCGACCGATCGTACAGTGATACGCGAGTCTGTCGCACGGAGCGGCGGCGGCGGCGGCGGCGGCGGTGATGGAAACGGTTTGCGATAAAAAAAATGAAAAAAAAAACCGCCAGTCACACGACGCGATTACAATTATTATTGACAATTATTACAACAATAATAATATAGTAATGATAAAGTCTCGTTAAAGTATGATAATAATAATAATAATAATCATCGTCGTCGTCGTTGATATGTGCCTATATTATATTATTATTATTATTGTAATATAGACGTCGTGGCCGCTTAAACGCACACCCGATAAGACTGTCGACATCGTGTGAGCCGCGTGCGTGTGCGTGTATATGTTTGTGGTGTGTGATAACGCACTAAATTTTTTATGAAATTTTTTCGTTTTTTTTTTTTTGTAGCAATTGTAACTACAGTAATAAAATATATGGGATAATATAATATTTAACCTGAACGCACGTCTCCGTGGTGTCAGGCACGTCCTTGTGAGATGTGGTGGGGCCCCGGGGGCGATGGAGGGGCAATGATCGTCGTAACGAGAGGTTCCCACCCATAAAAAAAATGTTTTTATTATTTTATATTATTAATAATTACGTTTTGGAAATTAAAAAGATTAGTAATGTATAATTTTCCATTTATGAATTATCGACCCCCCTCCTCAGACCATCCAAAACAATGGACAAACGACCACTGCAATGTAAATTGCATTCGATAAGTGATCGCAACGAAGAGGCAGGAAATACCTAAAAAGTATATACAGGTAATATATAGAAGTATAACAGACCGGACATAAGTTCTCGACTTCTCGTATTATACATAATAGATGGTAGTTTTACATTTCGAGCTCTTTTACGGATGAAGCTTTGAATTATTTTTTGCCATATTTTGAACATTGTTCAAAAACACATCCAATACTGCGTTTGATCTTTTGCGAAATTGACTTAAATAGATTCGGAACCTTCTTAGTACCTGTTGCACGAAAAGCTTCTGATCACGTAAAATATATAAAGCGATTAAGTGCAGTTAAACACTTTTAGTATGGTGCATAACGGTTTTAGGGACTGAGCAAAATGCGAAGATATACATACAAGGTCTTCGTAATATTCGCACACTGTATACACAATATCAATTTTATATACGGTCATATAGCTGGACGTGATCTTTTATGATTTGGTACCTATATATGTGCACATTGATTCATAATATGTAATTTGTATTATTAGTTATTACTATTATTTGATTAAACTTGGACAATTTGTGGGCTTAATCGTGAGCGCAAAGTGTATTTTGAATTTGACGATTTATATAATAGTGTGTGAGCGAATAATACAAGTAGCCTATTGTAAAGTGCAATTATAAAATTATCACCAACACTGTAGACGATTGAACAACAATAATTTCACAGTCAATATAATATAATAATAATAGTATATAATTGTTTACAATACGCAAGTACCTCGATCATTAAAATGATCATCCTATATAGGCGCACCAAATGTTTGCACTTTTTAAGACGCATTGTAATAACCCACTGTTAATGATATATTAAATAATTATCGTTCACAATTTAAGAAGAATAACCTAAACAAGTCTTTAAATCATGTTTGTAGTCGTTTTGTTAACCGTATACACTGTAATTGGGAAGGGGTGACCACCTAACCTTTCAACTTCATAGAAAAACAATGTCAAAATGTATTAAACTCCTTTAAAACAATACCCAATTCCTGCCAATGTTTCTCTACGTGGCTATAACACTATACGACCTCAACAATTGCACATGTAAGGTAACAATGATGATTAATGTTCTTTCACACGTATTATATAATATACATTCAATCAAATACACGTGAAGTATAATAAGTCGGTGCTATGTAAAAATAGTATTTATGAAAAATATTTTCATTTTATTCGCTTATGTACATTTAACGTCTATTGTTTTAAACCTATTCACTCGGCTTGCGAATAAGGAGGTCAAATAGGATAATCGTGAACTCAGAGACTGTCAATAGTGTGAGTGTTTGAAAATGATGGTTCGTAAACGGTTTTTTGATTTTAACTGTTTTATTTAAATAGATAATTTTATTGTTAAAATAGAATCTTCATAACGTAACGTATCTAGAATGTGCCAATTTAGAGGCAGGTATGTCAATAATTTATAAAGGTACTAACACAAAAACACATACCTATCTACATAGTATATCATAATATTCAAATTTGTTTGTAGTAATATAAATCAAATCTGCACAATCTTAAATTGCATATATAATTAAAAATCGTTTCGTATTTAAATCTCAAATGGCGCCTCACCGGTGTAAATGAGATTAGAAGTATGAAATCAACGTTGAGTAAGTATCATATAAGTATTGATGTAAGGTAGGTATAAATAATGGTATATAAAATAAAAATCGACGTAACGTCGTTCAGTTTGTATACTTTTCAAAATCAGTTGTCTATTTAAAAATGAAATCCCTCCTTGAAAATAGAATATAACTAACATCTATAATATAATTACTTAAATTTATTTACCGGAAAAAAAAAATTATGAGATTAATTTTCGTTTGGTCTATTGAATTTACCTAAATGTACGCGCGTCTGTATACTGTACAGTGCATATTATGTACATATTGTGTGTGTGTGTGTGTTTTGAAGGGCAGCGCTTCGAAGGTTATGATAAATATTATGTTAAAATTGCGTGTTTTGGTATTGATATTGAATAATTTCTTGAATCATTTAGATCCTGTATAATATTATGTTGTAGACACACATGATTTTTTTTTTTTAAAACTGTTTACATTATAATGTGTTACGTTCTTAATATTTGGATAAACTGTTTATTAGATTTAATAGTTCAGCTATTTAACAATTACTAATATCAGCAGTGCGTGAGGAGATACTAATGCACGCCGTGATAAGCGATAGTGATAAGAATTACGTGTAACTCGTACGGTACTCGGCGTACGCTAGCGTTTCTATACTAAAAAATGTTTAAATTCCATAATAGTTTTATATTTTTTTTAAATTAATAACAAAATGTACTAGTACCTATTTATCAATAATTTTCGATTCCTAGAAGAGAACGAAAAATCTAATAATTTTTCAACCAGCCGTTACACATTATTTTTTGTTATATTTCGGAAAACTTTTTTTCAGCTCATAAAAAGTTACACGTAACCACATCCTCCATCGACTGGAAAGTAGTCTCTATTATAATGCTGCATTCTTGGTTATATTTTAAAATCGAATAGATTTTGAGAATATCATAGACGAAGTCTGATATACAGTTTCAGTTTGTAGCGAAATCATTAAAAATTTCTAGATTAGTGCAGTGATGATTTTAGGACCTGGGACTTATTTCAGGTACTTGGTAGGTACCTAAACATTGCGCAATGCTTTGTTTTCAATATTACCTATTCTATAATAGATTAATAAAAAATAATTTAACCTAACAGAGATATTGCGTGATCGAGAGAGTATAGTTATTATATTAATAACTATATTATAAGTACTGTCACTATATAATAAACACTATAGATACAATTATTTACTGCGTGAGCGTGACTGTTAAAATAATAATAAATAATTACAACGAAATAAGTGAATAATAATATTATAGTCATGTGTGGCGTTATATTAAAAAATAATTTCAAATGATAATATTAATAATAAATCTCATTAATTCTATGGTAATTAATTCCCTTTATATTGTAGTTGGTGTTTAGGTTATCGTATTAAAATTTACATTTTTTCATAACAATTAGTACGAAAATTCGGAAAAAATAAATAAATGAAAACAGACAAACGAGTTTATTAACGCAAACACTAACTTACCTTTTATTCAATAAAAGTAGACAGAAACGTACGAGAACAGCAACCAACTGGTATCCATATTCAACTAGGTATACCCACTTGGTCGCGTGTTGAATTAAGTTTAAGATAATCACACTTGACTCTCGACACTACTTTTTTTTAAATGTATATATAAACCAAGATTAGGTTCATTTCGAGTAGATTTTAGTAGTAATATAAATACTGGTTTATTTTTAATAACCGCTGACGGATAGGTAGTTTGATCAAACCTTCATAATTAACAATACCTACAATAAATAACTATTATTGCACTTAAAACGTAAAGTGTAATTTTAGCATGAAAAAAAAAAATGTTTTTCGCCAAAACTGTTCTTAAAATACAAACACAGTGTACGCGTAATTGTATTGTAATCTTTAACATGTGTAAAAGTAACTGTAATCGTTGTGTATATACAAAATATATTAATATTGAATATCGCGATTGAAAATCGTCTGAGTAACCGATTTAAGTACAATAGAATTTATCTGGGTGAGTTAAATTATTTAAAAAAATACACTCTTGAAACAATTAAAAAGTACTAAAAATTAACTTACAAGTTTAACAATTTTCCGATATCATTTATTATACAGGTTGATAACTTCGTCGACCTTTTCAAGGTTCTTGGAAAAAAATATTTTAATTATTGAAAACAATTCACTGAAATTACATCATTTAAATATTATATTAAAATATCAAATATATTATGTGAGTATTAACAGAACGAAAAAATATTTGTACGAACCGTTTTGTGTGAAAATAAACCACTCAAACTATAATTTCATAGTTGAGAAACTAAATTTATATACGATACAGAATTTTCTTCCGCCTTAAATCTATTGATAATAATATGAAAAACTTGTTATTGTTTTAAAACCCGTTTTTTCATGTTTTTTAAACTGATAACTCTGTTTTTATTAATGATTTCAAAAAAGAAATAACAATTACACTACAACATAATATTAACTATTAAATATTGCCTTCTGTTTGGCATATAAATTTGATTTATGAACTATGAAGTGTACTTCTATCATAAGTGGATCTTTTTCACACGTAGCAGTTTAATTTCGTTATCACGAAACAGCTACTAACAAGGGACCACCACTAGTGAATAGTTATTCTGAATTAAAAATTTTAAATGCATTTAAAATTTTGAATTAAAATTTTTTCTTAATGTTTAATT